GCGCCGCCGCCAGCTCCTGCTTGGTCGGAGTTGCCGCTGGCTTCTTCATCAGCTGTGAGTCGACTGGCACCTCGTGCGTGGAACGCTTGCGCTTGATCTGGTGGCACGCAGCAGCTGGCTTCTTCATCACGGTGCTGCGCTTCTTCTTCTTCAGCGGTGCGTCGGTCTCGTCGTCGACGGCCTCGAGATCGTCTTCCTCGTCGGAGGACGCGGCATCTGCAGCGTCTGCGTCCGCATCCTTGTCCTCGTCATCGCTGTCATGGTTCTCGCCATCGACCTGCTCGACGATCTCGGCGTCGTCCTTGTTGTGCATGCCTGGGGGTGAAGCTTCATCAATCCTCCTCATCCTCCGTCTCATCATTCCTTTCCCCCTCTCCCTCATCCTATCTACCATGTCAGAGCCTATATGTGAACCTCTCTCATCCTCACCATTATTTCCTCACCCTCCTCCTCCTCCTCCTCCTCCTCCTCCTCCTCCTCCTCCATCCTCCTCCTCACTGCTCTCCTCCCAGCCATCTGCCCTCCTCTGCATCCCGCCCTCCTCGGAGAGGAGAGCGGGGTGGGAGTGCGATTCTAGTCCGTCTATGCCTGCAGGCCGCTTGCGAACGACGTGCTTCTTCAGCTCGTTCTGCAGCTCGATCCTGCACTTGTTCGCATCGGCCTTCGTCTTGATCGTGCCATCCTTGAACTTCTCGATGATGTGCTTGTGCACGGCTTCGAGCGCTGCCTTCTCTGACTCGAAGTAGCCGCAGCTGATGTTCGTCATCTGCTCTTTGCCTTTGCCCCCCTTCACTGTGCGATGGACCCTGATCAGCTTGTCTGGGCCGCGGTCGGCCATGATGAAGGCCTTGACTTTCAGACCGTCGGGGGTGTCTGTCCAATCGTTCAATCTGGACGAGTGGGCCCGACATTTGTCTACGTCGGTGAACACCTTCTCGAACACCCACTTGTCATCGCAGTCGTCGTCGTTCTCCCAGTAGGCCGTGTGCTTGCCGTTCTCGTCGGGGCCGTCGATTCTTGAACATTTCTCTGCAGGCCCCGACTTCCTGTTGTTGATCATCGGGATGCGGATCGGGGCCTGGTGTGTGATCTCGTCGTATTTGTACACGTACTTCACGCTCGCGAACATGGGGTCTGATTGCTTGACGCCAATCTTCTCGAGCGGCTCGCTGAACCACTGTGGCCAGACCTTTCTAGTGAACGTCGTGCTCGCATGCTTGAGCATCGCGCGAATTCTCTCGCTCATCTCGATGGACCAGCTCGTCAGCACTGCGCCTTGGACGCCTGGCCAGTTCTTGTCGTTCCCTATCAAGTAGAGCGCATTCTCCAGGGATTTCTTGCTCAACCACATGTTGGGCGCGACATTCTTCCTGATGCAGTAGACGATGTCGATGTGGGCGGCCATCCTGTCCTTGTCTGGGCCTGATCTGCCCTTCTTCGTCGGGTAGATGACGAACTCGGCCGTCGTCACGAACGGCGCGAGGTGCTCCTTCATGAGGCTCACGTCCACGCATGCATGTGGCGAATCGGCCGAGACGTCTGATGCCGCTCCGTCGGCCATGCCTCCGGCAGTGGCCCGCGCGAGCGCTCAGCTGGCGCTCGTCGCGCCTCCTAGCCAAAATGGCTATTGATCATGCTGTTGTTCTTTATTATTATTTGAGTGATTGTATCTCTTGGGCGCTTGGTGGCCGCTTGGGACGTCTTGTGGGTCTCGCTGCGATCCTGGAGGGCTCTTGGGCGTCTTGGGTGCATTGGGGGGGTGTGGGGGGGGCGCTTGGGGTCCTCTTGGAAGCCTCCTCGGGGCCTCATGGGGCTATCTTGGGACCATCGTGTGGCCTCTTGGGACCTCGTGTGTGCCTGTTGGGGCCATCTTGTTAAGAGGCCAAAATGAGGCCAACGCTGGAATAAAACTTCCTGCCCCCACACCGTTCATGTCCAGGAGAGGGGTGAGAGGGGAGAGGTAAACATTTCTCCGAAAGGGAAGAATGGGGCTTGGAAGCGGACGTCCCCTAAAACACCTACGCCCAGAGAGCTGGTGGCAATCATTCTACTTCTTCTCTTCCTCATCCTCCTGCTCTTCCTCCTCATCAGATTCAGACTCTTCCTCCCCACTCCCTCATTCATTCCTCCAGCCTCCCCCGTGTCAACATCCTCCCTGTTTCGCACTGTTCGGCAGCCCACCTCTTTGCTCCCGTACTTCCCTGATCACCTCACTCGCCTGGACATCGTTGCTGGATGGGCTGGTGGGGATACGCGAAGCGTATGGATGGGCTGGTGGGGATACGCGAAGCGTATGGGCTGGTGGGGATACGCGTATTTCAACGAAGTTCAACGGATTTCACTGGAATTTCAACGCTGGGGACTGATGGCATGATCGGGCACGAGGAGTAGGATGAGGAAACTGAGACGGACGAGGAGGACGTGGGTGAGTAGGATGCGCACACGCAAAGATCAGAGGATGACGCGGAGCAGGAGGAACGGGGGAGGGAGGGAAAGGAGGGAGCGAGTGAGGGAGGGAGGGAGGGAGGACGAGGGAGAGGAGGAGGACGAGGATCTCGAGAAGGAGAATGGGGGGGAGGGATTAGGACGAGGAGGAGGCGAACGAGGAGGGCGAGGCGAGCGGCCGTGTCCTGGAGGTCCGCCGCCGAGACGCCAGCAGCAGCCAGCACCTGGGCAGCACATGGAAACATGCGGTGGCACGGGATATCCCGTGCCACCGTATGTGTCCCATCGAGGGTGTATTGCAGCATCGATGACGCTCCTCCTCCTCCTCCTCCTCCTCCTCCTCCTCCTCCTCCTCCTCCTCCCTATACTCTTCCCTACCCTTTCTATTCCCGTCCACAACCTGCGCCATGTCGGCTGCTTGCCCGCGCAGCCGAGCTGCCTGGGGAGGGTGCCGAGGGAGTGAGTCGATCGATCGATCGATCGACGCTCTCGATGAATCAATGTATTTTTGTTGATATCTAAATACAAACATACTTGTATCGAACACACACACACATATAGATTAGATCAACAAAAATAAACTTATTCATCGAGAGAGCTGATCGATGGATCGATCGATCCACTCCCTCGACCCTGCCTCCATGAGGCTGCGCCAGCAGTCGGTGCTGAGCTGGACGCCCGTGGCGTACGTGTGCCCCTGCTGCAAGGGCTCCACGTACGGCACGGTCTCGACCTCCGCGGCGCCGATCGGAGTCGGCGCCGCGGTGGACGCACAGCTGAGCGCCTCCTGGTGCTGCTGCTTCTGCTGCTGCTGCTGCTGGTTCTGCTGCTGCTGCTGCTGCTTCTGCTGCTGGCCGTGCTTCATGAGCTGGTCGAACACGCCGCCGTCGCCCACCCACGACAGTGGAGGCATCGCGCCCACGACAGTGGAGGCCCACCCACGACAGTGGAGGCAATCGAACACAAACGGCCACAGAGGGAGGGAGGGGGGGGGAATAATCGACACGTCTGTATATAACCAACATGCGCAGTGTATATTCGACACGCATAGATGTTTCCACGCATATTCAACACTTGATATCGTATGTAATGATATACATAGTGGTGTGTCAGCATGTAGTTTTTTATGTTGCATAATCGCGCGTGTAGTGATTCAGCCCGGGAGACCCTCAGGGGAGTCGTTTTTTAACGGTCCCGAGGCCCGGCGAGGGCCCCCGGAGGCCGAAAATAGCGAAAAACCTCCCGTCGTGATTTTTTCACGACGCGAGGAGGTCTGGGGAGGGGGGAGAAGCTCAAGGGGGGGGGGAACATCGGCCTGGAGTCGGCGATGCGTCGCTGACGGGTCGGCAGCGGGCCCCCGCTGGCGAGCCCGCTCGGCCCTGGGCGGGGGGGGCCGTCGGGCCCGCCTCGGCGATCCACCATGGGCGACGGACCCAGGCCCCCGACGTAACGTTAGGTCCGGCATGTCCCCCTACAGGCCGATGTTGGACGGAGAATGAGAAATTGCCAAACACATATACCGTAAATATCCAAACGCGGTCAAAACATCCCCCTTATACTAGTTCTGGACTACCTTCGAATCTTCCTCCTGTAGAGAGACACGCCCGACGTAAACGGAGTGATGCTTTCATCATGTCGACCCTCAGAAATCTCGACCCCTTCCCCTGGACCCGCCACCGAGGCCCGGCAGGGGCCCGGAGGCCGAACAAGAAGCGAAAGCTCTCCCGTCGCGACTCTGTCATTGCCCGAGAGGCGGGGTCCGGGGAGGTCGCTGCGTCCCCCCCCTGGGCCCTTTCACCCCCGCCCCCCAGTGGCTTTCGGGCCATGGCTCGGGCCTCCGCCGGCAGCTCGGGAGGACTCGGGGCCCCCCCCCGCAGCACGCTCCTGAGGAGGCGCAGCTGCTAGAAAAAGCACCCCGAGGCTGGGACACCGCCGACAGCCAACGAAGAGGCCAGAAATTCTCGAACCGATCCCCCCCAGACCCCCGGCGTCATGATTCGTGAAAACCACCAAAGACCGCCCCTCGGGATTTGTTCGTGACCCGAAATGGGGGGGTCTGGGCCTGAGCCTATTCCCCTTCTGCTGCAACCCATGGGAATCTTCCACACCATCTTGCTGGCTCTTGCGCGTCGGCGCTAACCGACGATAGCCGACGAGAATCGACGCTCAGCGGCACTGGATCGATGCTAGTCGCCGCCAAACCAGCGCTATATCTCACCGGATGCAAGGAGACGCCGACGCGCTCCCAAAGCGTAAGGAATTTAAAAGGGTACACACGCCTCCCATCATGGGAGGCGTGTGTACTCCTCCAGGTCGCGGACAACAGCGACGACGACGAATGTATGGGAAACCATTGAGATTCTCTTGAAACCCTGGAAGATTCCTTGAGACGTGTGGGGAAACAGCGTGACGTAATCGGGGGGGGAGAGGCGGGGGCGATCACGAGCGTGATCGCCCAGACTGATAAAAAAAAAAACATAAAGAGGCTCATGCTTTGCCACCGATGATGGGCCTGTTTTCCACCACCACCATAAGTTGGAGGGTGAGGAGGAGGAGGAGGAGGAGGAGGAGGAGGAGGAGGACGAGGAGGAGAACGAAAAGAAGGAGGAGGAGGAGCAGGAGGAGGAGGTGGCGGAGGTGGAGGAGGAGGAGGAGGACCCCCTCCTGGAAGACAGGCTCATCCACCGAACCCCCCCCCTAACGGTGCCCCCGAAGCCGGGGCGCCGTCGGAGCGAGCCCGCAGGGCCGGCGGCGAGCGCGCCCCGTGCCGGCACGGCCCGCGCAGGACCCGGTGGCCAGCCCGGCAGCCCGGGGCGGCCTGCGCGGGGTCGGAGCGCGAACGTCGGCCTCTCGGGCGCCTCGCACAATCGAGGCGGGGGTCTTGCATATACACCCTGCGAAATGCTTAAGAAATCATGGGTCATGGGTTAAGAAATTCATAGTCTCAGAAATTGAGTAAAAACCCAAAATTTCCACTCAAATCTTAGGATTTACATTGAAAAGTTAAGAATAATCGAGACTCTGGCCATTGAAAAGTTAAGAATAAGAAACATTAAGAATAATCGAGACTCTGGCCGAACATGTAAGCTTTCTTAAGCATCGCCTAAGGTGTACCTTTCGGCCTCACCGGGCCTCGGGGCCGTCAGACATCGCCTCGGCAGGAAGAGCCGGTGACGCGGAGACCTCCTATAGATGGGGTCGGAGTGGATGGGGTCGGAGGATCGCGCCGCACCGCCCATACATCGGCGATGCATCGGCGATGCATCGGCGATGCACCGGCGATGCACCAGCGATGCATCGTCGACGGGGGCGATGCATCGGCGACGTCGACGTGCAGCAACTCGGGCTCCACGTCGAGCCGCCTCGGCGATGCCTCGGCGATGCGGCGCGACCCTCCGACCCCGTCCAGGAGCCCTATGGATCTCGGGGAGGGGGTCGAGGCCTCCAGGGCCCGTGCCTCGACAGCAGCGGGGACGCCGGATGGCTGGGCTCGGCTCGCCGACGGCTCGGCTCGCCGAGGAAGCGCCCCGAAGCGAATGCGCATCTGACCGCCGCGCCCGGCTCCGGCCTGCCCCCGTCGATGCCGGCGGATCGGGTGGGCTCGGATCGAATCGGAATCGCGTTTAGGCAGAGGTATTTCGTCACGTGATGCGAAGTTCCCCCCTCCCCACCGAATACCGTTCCCCACCGAATACCCGAACCCCGTCCGCTCATAGTACCTCCTCCTCCTCCTCCTCCTCCTCCTCCTCCTCCTCCTCCTCCTCCTCCTCCTCCTCCTCCTCCTCCTCCTCTGGTTCGCATCACGCGACGGATCCAAGTCGCCGATCGCGGACCCAGCCAGTAGGCGGCGGTGTCTGGTCGGCCTCCGTGCTTCGCCCGCAGGCGTCGCAGACGTACTCGCCCGTGGACCGGGCGCTCTGGAGGGTCCGCCAACCGTGCCTCGAGGCACGATGCCCTGAGATGCGGGCGCTGCAACTTGCGTTTCACACCAGGCGATTCCGCCCCCAGCTCCGGGCCCTGCAGGGCCCTCACAGACCGATCCGGCTCGAAGAAAATGCCACGGGGAGATATCTTCGCGATGTTGCATGTCCTTCCCGACCTCAAGGGGGAGTGTCCTCAGGACCCTTCGAGCTCTCTGCGCTTGGAATATACTGTCGTTCTGGGCGAGGAGAGCAACCCCCACCCCCACCGGGGAAGCCTTGGCCCCGCTTGGCAATACCCCCCCTATAGGTGGGGACGGGTACCGTCTCCCTCGGGTTTCGGAGCGCCCATCCCCACCTAGAGGGGTACGCTGGGAGAGCCAACTTAATCACCCTGCCCCGCTGGTGGTGGAGATGGTTCCGACGATGATGAGTCATGCTCCTGTAGCGGCCCACAATTTAAAGGCCCCAAGAGCCCCCGGAAGAGGCGTCCATGAGGCCCCCTAGAGCCCTCTGAGAGGCCCTGGAGACGGAGCCGAACAAAGCCTCACCATGCACCCAGGAGACCTCCCCAAACATGCGACGTCCTGATTTGTCGGCGCGCCACCCTTGCAGACGTGATGCAGCGGATTTGTGTGTCCATGCCTGGCCAAACAAAACTCCATGCCTGGCCAAACAAAACTCCGCACGAAATTCACCTCGAAATCCAGAACGACACTCTCCAGGACACTCGGGGCCCATCCTATCGTTTTCCGACATCCGCTCTGCGATGTGGGCGCCATGATATTGATTTAATACGGGGTCCCAGGAAGTCCCGACCCTTTTCCGGGACCAGCTTTTCATCCTGAAAATGTTTCGACGGTCCCGAGGCCTGGAGTAGGCCCCAAGCGGCCGAAAACGGCCCAAAAAACTCCCGTCCGGATTTTTCCGCGACACGATCATGTCTCGGGAAGACGTAAGACTCGGGTACGGGGGACTCGGGTTAGCCCGACGGGACCATCACGAAAATGACGAGACCCAATCTGCAATTTGACGCGAGCTCCTGCTGCAAACATCCCACCAAGAGGCGCTCGTCAAAAAGCGGCGGCAGACCCGAGTTCCGGCTTACTCGAGTCTTACGTTTCCCCGAATGTCTGGGTCTGCCCCACAGCCCAGGCACCCAGGCACGGTGGCGAGCGCGCGATGACGGTCCAGCGGGACCGGCCCTAGGAGGGCGGCGCGGGGGGGCCGGAGCCCTCAGTAGTCGGCCTGGGACTGGCGGTCGATCTGGATGAAAGTGGTGTGAAAGGTAGATTTTTTGGGCGTCTGGTGCATTCTGGGGTCCAGTGGGTGGAGGTGAGAGTGATAATTAGGTCGGATGGATGGGCGTGGAAGTGGAAAGTCGGATGCTGGAGGTCGATAGGTGGAGGTGGAGATGGAAAGTCGGATGGCGGGATGGGCGGGCGGGATGGGCCGAAGGCCACCAGATGTGGAATTTCAGACACTCCAGCTGTGCGGGCGCCTCCGCCCTCCGAGGCCGCGCCGGAGGCTTCACCGTGCTGACGGGCCCACCGCCGTCGTGCAGGAACGGCAAAGGCCGGCAGCCCTCCGAGTACGTGGTGGCGTCGTCGCCGCAGTGCCGCGCGGGAGGCTTCACCTTGCTGACGGGCTCACCGCCGTCGTGAAGGAACGGTAAAGGCCGGCAGCCCTCCGAGTACGTGGTGGCGTCGTCGCCGCAGTGCCCCGCGGGAGGCTTCACCGTGCTGACGGGCTCACCGCCGTCGTGAAGGAACGGCAAAGGCCGGCAGCCCTCCGAGTACGTGGTGGCGTCGTCGCCGCAGTGCCCCGCGGGAGGCTTCACCGTGCTGACGGGCTCACCGCCGTCGTGAAGGAACAGAAACGGCCGGCAGCCCTCCGAGTACGTGGTGGCGTCGTCGCCGAAGTGTCGCAAGGTGCTCTTGGTCGACTTCTCGTCCTCTGGCTCTGGGCCGACTTCGGTAAAGTCGTCGATCCTGAGCCCGGCGTCCCACCACGCGGCCTCTTCTGTCAGCCAGCGCCTGTCCCCAAGCACCGCCTCCAGCTTGTGCTGCAAGCTCGGCTTCACCATGCCCAGGAGTGTGCCCGATATGCTGTTCGTGCATATCGCCTGGGCCTGCTCGATGCCGACCAGCAGGTCGTTCACCAAGTCCTCCATCCTCTCCTGTCGGGTCGGACGGAAGGTAAATAGCAACAAGGAAACCAAAAGGCACCCTTAGCGCGCTGCTCCCCGGGCCTCTGCCGGGGCGCGTTCTGAGCAGAATGTGGAGGCGAGTCCAGCGGTGGCGACGCGGGCCTCCCGGGAAGCCCAAAAAGGGGAAAACGATGGAAGGGTAGCGGTAATGATGCATGTTCCTCCGCGCCGAGGATAGCAAACAGGAGGGGGGGAAGCGACTCAGCCCACGAGGCCGATTTTTCGGGAGCTTGGTTGCCAACGTATCCGGGAAAGCACCGGGCGGCGAGGCTGCAGCCAGCCGCACGAAGCAAATCTCGTAGCCGCCCTTCATCCTCCTCCTCCTCCTCCTCCTCCTCCTCCTCCTCGTCCTCCTCCTCGTCCTCGTCATCCTCCTCCTCCTCCTCCTCCTCCTCCACCTCCTCCTCCTCTTCCTCCTGCTCCTCCTCCCCCCCTCGTCCTCTTCCTCGTCCTCGTCATCGTCCTCGTCCTCGTCCT